AGTGCTTGGTGGCTTTGTTTGCCACTTTGGGCAACGTCCTGGTGATCTGGGTGGTGAGGCTGAGCTCCAGCTTCCAGAACACGACCCTGCACTTCGTCGCGTCGCTGGCGCTGGCCGACATCGCCGTGGGGGTGCTGGTGGTGCCCCTGGCCATCGTGGTGAGCCTGGGCATCACCGTGCACTTCTACACCTGCCTCTTCATGTGCTGCCTCATGGTGGTTTTCACCAACGCCTCCGTCCTCTCCCTCCTGGCCATCGCCATCGACAGGTACCTGCGAGTGAAGCTGCCGACCAGGTGAGTGCTGCACCTCCACGCTCCCTGAGATGAGCAACAGGATGATGCCACTCCCTTTTCTGCTTTATCTGGACTGCTTTTATTATTTAAAGGTGCACAAGAAAGTAGCCTGGTCTTAATTGTTCCTTAAAAATTATTACACCACAAATTATTATGTCACCTGTGGTGTAATAATTAGTGCCATTTTCGTGCCGTCCTAGGCAACTACAACTCTGCAGGCTGGTTTGTTTTGATTGTCAGGGGAGGATTCAGCAGGCTGAATCAATGCAAAGTCCATCTAATAGTTATTATTAGGGTTTCTGAGGCAGGTCTTGTAAATAAAATTCCGTTTAGTGTTTGCTGAAAACACAGAAGTAAGTAACAAACACACTAAGGGTTAACTTAGGTCATTCGCTGTTTATATTTGAGTGGAAAAGCACATAAACTAAAAATGCAAAGCATAACCTCAAGCATCAAAGAAATCATCATTTCAAGGGAAAGGGCCTATGAAATTGAAGAGCAAAACAACGTTTTAGTCCTTCAAGTGGCATAAAAAAAATAAAGACGAAGGTACACCCAGAGAAGGTGAAAAATAAGATAGAACTGCTAATAGCAGCAAAGCAGTATCTTGGCAAGAGAAGCACTGAAATCATAGTGAGACAAAAATTAATATAGATGAGAACATCCAGTTATAAACAGGGGAAGTTAAGCACAATTCTTACTGATGCTGCAATGTAACTGTTACAAATGTAGGGTTGGGTCTTGTCTCAAGATAAGATTTGTTTTCACCCCCTAAAGAAAAAAAAAACCAACCAAAAAACTAATGCTCCAATTTCTGATAATGAAACTTTAGTATCTGAAGGTGTGAGTGCTTGAAACCATCCTTTACTATTTTAAACACTCCTTTTTAACACAGCCTGGGTTTTCTTCCCCCACAGGTACAAAAGAATCACTACAGAGAGAAGAGTTTGGTGGGCACTGGGGCTGTGCTGGGCTCTGTCCCTGCTGGTTGCACTTGTCCCCATGTTTGGCTGGAACAAGTCAGGAGACTCCAACTTCCCCCGGTGCCGATTCATGTCCGTGATGAGCATGGATTACATGGTGTATTTTGGCTTCTTCACGTGGATCCTTGTCCCCCTGCTCATCATGTGTGCCCTGTATGCTGAAATCTTCCACATCATCAGGACAAAGCTGAGTCAAGGCACAACCAGCGTGAGAGGGGCTGGAGCTTTTTATGGGCAGGAGTTCAAGATGGCCAAGTCTCTCGCGCTCGTTCTCTTCCTGTTTGCAATATCCTGGTTGCCTCTGTGCATTATAAACTGCATTTCCTATTTTTACCCTGAGACTCAGATCCCCCAGTTTTGGATGTACTTGGGAATCCTGTTATCCCACGCCAATTCTGCCATGAACCCCATTGTCTACGCCTGCAAGATAAAGAAGTTCAAAAGCACGTACCTTTTGATTTTAAGGACCTATATCCTGTGCAAAAAACCAGACCCGGCTCTTACAGAGCAAACAGCAGACCCACCATCATAAATTAAGACTGTACAGACCAGGCAACTGATAAACCACTTGGCTTTGCTAAGGAACTCATGGGAAAATGAAGCAACATGTAGATCTGAAGGTTACCCTAAAGCTGTATGTGAATATATGTCTTTGTATTATATCAGTCCAAAATACAGAAGGAAATACTGTCTAGTTGTGGTGGGTACTGTCTAGTGTTGAGGGTTTTTTTGGTTATTTTTAACATAAGGGTTGGAAGAGTTGACTGAAAAACAGGCTAAATGTGTTCCTTGCTGTTTGTAATCCAGCAGCTCACAACCTCACTGACTGTTTTCACACCTTTTGTCTTCTCTGTCCATTTAGACTAAAACTTGAGTCTGGTCGACTTGTGCTGCAGCCAGGGTTGTCACATTGTCATGAATAATAATAATAACAACTATTAGGTGGATTTTACATCGATTCAGCCTGCTGAATCCTCCCCTGACAATCAAAACAAACCAGCCTGCAGAGTTTTAGTTGCCTAGGACGGCACAAAAATGGCACTAATTATTGCACCACAGCTGACACAGCCCCCTTTTAAGGAACATGGGTCAAACTGAAAATAGGTCATTAAAGGCCAGGCTATTTTCTTGTCCATCTCTAAATAATAAAAGTAGTCCAGATAAAGCAGAAAAGGGAGTGCATCATCCTGTTACTTATCTTAGAGAGTGTTGGCATCTGCTCCTTTAGCTGAGACCAGACATCTCATTTCTTATCTGATGCAACCCTTGTCCCAGGCCAAAGCTCTGCCTCCTTACACAGTTCAACTTGATAGATAAACAGGCCAAAGGAAGGCACTGCACGAGTACATCAGAGTTTGGTACATGATCTCTAATGATCAGTGATGGAACCGATTGCTTTCAGCAGAAAAACAGGTCCCACCTCACGAGCAGGAAATTATTTGTGAGAACGATGCACGGGGGGGCTTTGCTGATGTGTTTCTGGTGAAATGAGGAAAGAGGGAGCAACACTGCACCAAATTCCTGGCAGGCTGCCTGCCAAACTCCAAGGGAACAAGGTACAAGGATCGGGAGGAAGAACAGAGAGGGGACTGAGAGCAGGGGAAGTCATCCTGCCTTCTGAGAACAAGCTCCCTGGCCCTGCTCTCCCTTCTGACGTTGCAGCCAGATGTCAACTCCAAAATGCCAGGGAATATCACAGGCACTGCTGTCCCTGCATCCTTCACAGCACCATTTAACCCATGAGGTGTTTCCACTCACCCTCCTAGAACTGGACAATTTATACTGGACACAGACACACTCAGACACATTCCTGCTGTGAAAGCTTGTCCTGAGGGAGAGAAAAGTGCACTTTGAGCAGAAACCTCCTGAAATAGTAAAAATGGGAGAGCCAGAAACAGAGGACACAGAATCCCCTGTTCTGATTAGCAGATGCACTTGTCACAAATTCCTAGAGCTACAGGAATTTTATTTAAGAGTTTGCTGGTGGCTGCCATTACAAGCTGTTTATGACCCTACAGAGCTCTTGGCACGGGAAAGGGAGAGACAGAGGGATGCTCTGGGATGAGTTTGGGGCTCAGCAGCAGCCACACAACAAAGAGATTGTGTGTCACCTCCCAAGGGCTGTGCCACGCTCAGCCCCCCAGGTACACACACCCAAGGGCTGTGCTGGGGTTGGCAGCGTTTCACAGTGGACATGAAATGGTTGTGCTGAGTCTCAGTGAGGAAACACCTGCATGAAAACCCAACACCCCCGAGCTGGGCTCGAGGAGGGGGAAGCCTGTGATGAGCCACCTCCCTTTGTTTTTCTAACTTATTGGTGTGGGGGAGTAACCTTTGTTCAAGCCAGGTAAATCTTCAGACCTTATTTCTCTGTCAGGCAGCAGAGTAACACTGTTATTAATTTTAAACAAAAATTGAACTAAATTAAAAAACACTGTGCACAAACCACACTCATCCCTTATGAATCTCTTCACAGCTAAAAATACTAAGGAGTAATATGGTATTTTTCTCTCTTAAATAGAACTTGAAGAAGCTGCCACGACTGAGATGAGAGCAGATAACAGCAAAGCAAAGACCATGGGCTGTACCCTGGAACAGTCTGTGGTCTGACCCACACCACCACACACCCAATTTCAGAACATAGAAGTGTTTTAGCCACACTTTTTCACGTGGTCCCCTGGACCTCCAGTAGCTGCCGGGAGGAGGGGACAGGACAACCCACCGAGGGTGGCAGAGGTGGAGCCCCTGCTCTGCTGAGCGGGGCTGGAAAGGCACCAGAGCCTCGCGTTTAAGCGAAATTAAACCCAGCTTGGTGCTGCCATCAGGTGGCACATCCAGCATCGCTCCTCTGAAGCCTCTCAGATGTTTCAGCCACAGCGCACAGGAGTTTGTAGGGCTCTTGTCCTGCCCCAGAGATCCCTCTGGAGGAGTGTTTGAACAACACACATGCAAATATCAGCGTTCTCAGAAAACAGAAGTACCTGCAAGAGTCTGGCACTCTCTGGTGACCACAAACAAGGAGGTTTCTGAGGCCCCGAGGGCTGAGCCAGCAGGAAACATCCCTCCCATTCAGCCTTGAGCAGTTGGAGATCCCCGAACTCCCCGGGACGACAAACCTCCCATCCGTGGGAACGTGCAGAGGAGCTTCTCTGGGGCTGCTCAGAGTCACTCGTGGTAACTTATTCCCCAGCTGACGATGAAGGGGTGATTTTTCCCTCTTTACAACGTGTTTAGAACATTGTGGGTAATAACCCGGGAATGAGAGGTTTTGGCTGTCCCACTGTGATGGTGCATTGCTTTTACGGGACCTGATCAGGAAGCAGCATTTGCACACAAACATTTCATTATCATCTCTTCAATAACAGAAAATAACTAATCAGAGCACTTGGCAATCAAAAAAATATGCCAAGTGCCATGGCTGGTGACAGAAAAGGGAAACACAAGGGCCCAGACATGGATAGATGCAGAGAAACATTTCCATTTCTCAGTTCTCTTTGGTAGCTCAGTAACGGAAACTTTACAAGTGCAGGGAAATTTCTACAGATGAGGAAATACTGTATTAAAAAAAAACAAACCAAACCACCTTCAATTTGCCCACAACCTTTGGCAATTGGTTTGGAACAGGAGACCTGCATTTCCCCTTGTGACTATAAAAAGAGCTGATGTTACAGATGGCAGTGCTGGCACCCTCAGGGCACTGCAGGCCTTGGTGTAACGTTCTGGTGGCTTTTGATGTTCAGAAAGTGGAAAAAACATTTTTTTATTTCTCTTGGAACTTCATCATCACACAGCCAGTGGTGTCTGACTCCGCTGGAAGACCAGAGTGCTGTAGGTAACCTCGTTCTGAGGATGGGAGAGAAGCCACAAACATTACAGTGTTTAAGCACTGCCTGTCAGCAGGAATTTACCACTTTTAGTTAGTCCTCAACACCACACACCACAAACAGTCTGTCCTTACACATGGGAAATTAATATACACTAGGCTGGTTCGTGCCAGTGGTTAGTCAGTCTCAAATTTACCAAAGAATTAATATCACAAAGGCAAACTGCAGAAATCCTTGCCTTCTAAAAAGATTTCTCCTAAACTGCCTAATCAGAGGTTTAGTTAAACCCTTGAAATACATGGAGAGTATAATATGGTGTTTCAGCTCTGTATTTTTCCTCCTACTGTCCAGGGACCTCCTCAGTACATCCCTATACTTCTATAAACACAGGTTGAAGCCTTGGATGCCCAAAGCAAGCCTTTTTCCTTAGTCAAAAGAACTCCTGACTAACACTCAAGTCTCTCAAGCAAGTGACTTTTCTCCCTCCCACCCCCAAATTAATATTCACCACCCCGTCAAGAACGTGAAGTCTCTGCATTAAAGGTTTGAAATAACAGTTGTGACCTTTACCTGGGTGTTCCTGGCACGTTCTCCAGGTGCTGCCTGGAAGCAAACTTCCCCTTGTAAATTTTGGTGGGATTTCTTGCAATCTGGGAAGGAGAGGGATATCAGCCTCAGCTGTCTGCACTGTGTTTGGAGAGGCTCGGTGGTGGGTGACAGGCACATAACCTGTAAAATCTGTCACAGACCTGCCCTGCAAAGTGGGCATTTTGGGCTGCCAAGTCCCTGCCCACCTGCTGGAAGTGGCCAGGATGAAAGGGACTGAGAATTTAGTGTGTCCAGGGTTGGGATGAGAAAAACCCACGACCAACAGAAACCTCCCCAACTCATCAGTGGTCAAGTTAATTCTCCCATGCAAACAGCCCCTGAGGAGTTCTTGGCAGGGGTGACCTGTTCATCAACGCAGGAGTTACTCCAAGCAGACACAATTTTAAAATTTCAAAGTAACTTCTGTAGTTATCACCACTCTGCTGTTACTCCCTCCTCTGTGCTACTTACTTTTTCTGGAGAGGTAGATGATGGCAAAAACCAGGACAGTCAGGAGGATGCCAGAGATGAAGGCCAGTGACATGTACAGTATTTCACGACTGTTCATACACAGAAAATCGTGTCAGAAGCCCCAGTTTTAACAGAGGTGTTGGAGCATCAGCAGTGCTCAAATTCACCAAACTTCATGGGGTGCTAACACATTTATCCCGAGCAGTATGAGATGAAAAGGTGCATATCTGCCTTAAGCATCACCAGTGCACAGACTAGGAAATTGCAATGAACTTTTTAAACCCCCAGGACATCAAATATGTGACATAAACCCCCTCCCTTGCAGAAGGAGGCTGCAGTCTCAGGGTTTGGAGGCAGGAAATAAAGGTGGAGCATTTACCTCTCAAACCAGCATTTAACTTGTGAAGCTTCTAATTCAGTGTGGACAGTGGTGTGGACAGTGGTGTGGATGGTGGTGTGGATGGTGGTGTGGACAGTGGTGGGGACAGTGGGAGTAGTAGAAGTGGGTGTAACTGGAACAGAAAAAAATAAATAATCAAATATTGGTTTTAAAACATTTCTCCAAACAACAAGAACTACATTCAGGCACGTGTCTGCCCAGGGCAGCGTTATTTTGTGTGTAAGACTTCTCTCTCTCAGGGGGCTGAAAGTGGAACCACCAGACAGGAAAATGCAGTTGTTCATGTCATTACTGTCTCAGGGCAGCCTCTGGCAGCCATGCAGTTCTTCCACACACCCCCACAGCAGCCCTTGGGTCAGGACAACATCAGCTCAGGCAAGAACACTGCAGCTAAAAAAAAACTGCTTAAAAACTAAAATACCTGGTTGTGAGGAACGGCCTCCCATTCTCTCCAAGCACTAAGAGACAGGAAGAGAAGCTGAAAGGACGGGAGGGGAAATAAGTTGTATTTATATATATAGGTATGTAAGCAAAACAAACCTGTCGCCCTCTTTTAACTCGAAGACTTGATTTAGTTTTTATCCATTTTTTAGGAATCTTATAAGACTGGCACAAAGCCACACAAACCCAGCAGTTCCTCAGCATCAATCCTGCTTCCCAGTGTCTTGCTCCTGGCACACGTGGTCACTACGCCCTGATGGGCACGTTGCCTTCTTCCCCCAAAAAACGGAGGATATTTAAGACTTAAAAAGCACCCACAGGATTATTTTTGCAAGAGCTAAAGCCCAGTCCACTTTGTGAACCTTTTCATAATCAGCAGCTCTGAAAAATTCCCCTCTTGATGTTTTCCTTTCTCAAGTTAAATTGACTTTTCTCACCAAGGCAGGAACAGTAAGTTTCTTCCCAAATTTGGGGGTGGAATCTTGAAGAGAGGGCTAAAAGATAGGGAGTCTTAAAGACAGTCTACTACAAAATCCCTACCCTGGTATTTCTCACCACATGGGTTTGCAATATGCGTGTTGTGAATAATGTGAAAATATCACAACATGAAAGTATCACATGAAAATATCACAACATGACAGTAAACTCTGCTGCTGCCACTTTTCCTACTGCACCCCGTTGTTGCCCACATTGCAGAGGAGTCAAACCATGAAGAGCTCCCAGTTTCCAACCCCAAACCTCCCAGTTTGTGTTTGCAAGAACTAAAGGAACAAGAAATGATACAGGTCCATCTTACCTCCCACCATGGAGAACTCCTGGGGTGCCAGCACACCAGTTCAACCCCTTGGCTTTGGGCAAAGAATCTGTCACACCAGCTAAAAGCTCCAATGGCATTGAGACGTGGGCTTACAAAAATGTGGAAGTTGAGCAACTTCACTTTTCTTATTTAAATTATCACAAGACAGGAAATTATGCACCTGCATTTTCTGGAACTGCTGAGCTAAAAAAAGTAAGGCAGGTTGAGTTTAGACTCGCTTAAAAGTCAGGTTCTGACCCCCAAAATACACGTTTTTTTGTGCTGTTGTGTTGAAAAGTGGAGAAAACTCACTTCTCCCCCACTGAGAATTGCAGCAATTCTTAAAGAAGTGGGTACTGGGCACACCCCACTCTGCTCACTGCAGTTCATGTACTAAATAAATCACTGCCCAGCACACGAAGGATGAACTTAAACAGGTCAGTGCTTTGCTCAGCTGAGATATTTGAGTTATAACAAAATCCTGCAGGGCAAAGTTTCCCTTGGAAAGAAAATGGAAGAGGTTTATTCTGTGTGTTTTATCATAACAGACATGGAATTATTTCTCTTGCTGCACAAGGAAAAAACCAAACCAACAGCTTTTTTTTCTCCTATGAAAATCCAGAAAAATCCCACCCTCTAAACTCACCCATTTCCCTGTTTTAAACTTAATACTGAAGTCATGTTTTCCGGTAGCTTTTGACATATTTCCTGCCAGATCACTCTTTTCCCAGAACCAAAACACTTTCATCACTACACAAAGCTTTGTTGTGAAAAAGGGGTTTTCAGCTCATTTTGAGAACAAGGCCATTGATTCAGAGCCCCTCCAAGTCCAGGACCAGGTCAAAGGCAGCACAAATCACCGATTTCAGAACATGTTTGCAATGACAGCAGGTATCTGTGGGTTGTTATCACAGAGAATTCTAACCCAGACATCAGTTTGAGCAGCAGAATTTGTCTGTGTGAAGTTGTGTATCTGATCTCTGCAAGTGTTCGTGACCACACCAGGAATCCAACACACACCGTGGCTGCAACTAATCCCCCCCTCTCAACAGCAGTGGTTGGTGTGACCCCTCAAACACAACCAGGCAACGACTGTTGGTAGTGAAACACGGCAGAGGGGTTGGGTTTTGTTTGTTTAATGATGTTTTAGACTCATAGTTTCCACCAGCAATGTACTGAGACACGTCAGGGGGCTTGGATGAGGTCACACTGCTGCGCGTGCGCCCTTGGACAGCGCCTTCAGGTCCAAGATGCACTTGGCAATGCTCTCCTTCTGCTGCAAGAGAGGGGGAAACAGCTGTCAGCAGGCATCTCAGGTAAAATAGATTTTTAGTGCATTTTAGATCATCCCTTTTCACACCCCTGAGTTACAGATTTAAAGGGATGTAACGAAATCAGAGATTACATCCCAACAAGGACCTGCACTGAAGCGGGAATGGAAGTCATGGAATCTCAGAACAGTTTGGGTTCAGAGGGAGCTTAAAGCTCATCCAGTTCCATCCCTGCCATGGGCAGGGACATCTTCCACTGGCCCAGGTTGCTCCAAGCCCTGTCCAACCTGGCCTTGGACACTTCCAGGAATGGGGAAGCTGCTCTGGGTAACGAAAGCACACAGTGCTGGGAATATGTTTTCATTGGTTTTGTTCTGTTTCTTTCCTTAAAAGCAAGGACACCCAGAGCCCACCTGCAGACCTTGGTCTGCCAAGGTCCTACACAGAGAACTTTTGAGTCCCCTGCCCTCTGAGCTGCACATCTCATCACAGCTCAGCTCTGAGCTGCAGCAACAAATGCTGCACACAATCCTAGTTTAAATCCCAGCAACATAAGCACCTGGTACACAGAAACTGGGCTCCTTAGCTCTTCCTCAGCAGCAGGAATGTGCTGCAGCCACATTTGGAAGTCACCCAAGGACACCCATCATCTCCTATCTTAAATTAGAATCCTTTGTAGCAGATCTTTGTACAGACTAAACCATAAAGCAGATAAAAAACAGCAAATACCTGTTGGGGTGTGATGCTCTGAATAACGTTCTTCTCCACCCACTCAATCATGTAATCCTGTTCCTTCTGCCTCTTTAGGGTCTGCAGGGCCACTTGGTAGTCCAGCCTCTTCTTCACCTCGTTGTACACCATCATCATCCTCTCCCGGTAGTTGGCTTCCAGCAGCATCGCAACGTTATTCTGCACAAGCAGATGAAGTCAGGAGGTTAATGTTTGGCAAGAACACAAAGCAGCAGCAGAACATGTTCTGTAGCAAAAGGGACAGAATCACAGGATGGTTTGGGCTGGAAGACACCTTAAAGATCATCCACTTCTACCCCCCTGCCATGGGCAGGGACACCTTCCACTGGCCCAGGTTGCTTCAAGTCCAGTCCAACCTGGCCTTGGGGATTTGAGGGATGGGACCTCTCTGGGCTCTCTGTGTCAGGTGTTTCCGGTCCTCTGCGTCCCCTGTTTCTTCCTTTTCTTTCTTCTCTCTCTTCCCTCGGTTTGAAGCCGTCCCCCCTTGTCCTGTCACTATCTGCCCATATAAAAAGTCCTTCTCCCTCCTTCGAGTCTCTGGGTCGGGTGGTGGAAGTGGCCCTGTGTGCAACACACACACAGCAAACAGTCTGTGACTTGCTGGGAGTACAGGAGGCTCCCAGACTGGGCAGGGCAGGCTGCAGGGGGGAGGGCAGCAGAGCTGGCACCACGTACCCTCTTTGCATCAAAGAGGTAAGAGCGGCCCTCGACCCGCCACTGCTCCTTCTTCTCCGCCTCAATGGCCTTCTGGAGACTCTCGATGGCCTCGTTCTTCACAGCCAGAGCTTTGGCTACTTTCTCCTGGAAGAAGAAGCAAGGAACACCCTTCAGAATGAAAGTCAGGCTGAAGGAAAACAACCTGCAATTCACTTCTGGAATGGTGCATTAAGATTTGAGAAATGTCTGTGTGAACTGCCCTGCGCCAGGGCTGAGGTTCCGGGGTGGCAAAGCAGAGTTAGGGTTCAAAATCACAGAATCCCAGGATGGTTTGGGTTGAAAGGGACCTTAAAGCTCATCTCATTCCACCCCCTGCCACAGGCAGGGACACCTTCCACTAGCCCAGGTTGCTCCAGGCCCCCTCCAATCTGGCCTTGGACACTTCCAGGGATGGGGCAGCCACAGCTTCTCTGGGCAACCTGTGCCAGGGCCTCCCCACCCTCACATTTTTCCCTAATATCCACCCATCCCTGCCCTCTGCCAGTTTGAAGCTGTTTATACTTTAACAAAACCACTCCTTATTAACTACTACAAAGTCAGATTCTGGTTTCTTTGTTACCTCGTTAAGTTTGTCAGCAAAAGCTGCCACATCAGGCCCGAATCTCTTGATGCCATAAATGATGACTGACAATATACAAGCAGCTGCCACTGTCTCGTGGTTAACAACATAGATTTCCTTGGAAAGCAGGTAAAGCACGAGGCCAGTTCCCAGCATGTAGGGCCCTAAAGAAAAAAAAAAATAAA